TTATTTTGCAAATGCTGTACGCAAAGCAGGATTTAGAGTTCTGCTTCAATTTTCTTATATTTGTTTTGAATTTACATTTTTCACTTTCTCAATTTCCTTTGCTTAGGCAGTTTTTCTTTTTTTTTTTAATTTTTAGCTGTGTTTTTGGTTTAGAACATCCATTTTGTCAAATATTGATTTGGGCCCTGATTACTCCCTGTAATATATAGGTATTTTTAACGGGCACATAAAAACAGGTTTAATGCATCGACATCCTGACCAGGAAAACTTAAATTAAATGGGTGATGAGAAGGGGCATGTTATATCTTCGTCCAAAAATCGAGTTTTGGATTTTCCCACAGTTGCGAAACGCTAAGGTGCACTCAAAATCTTTCCTTTATGCACGTTCATACTTCGTTAAATCAACAACAAATATTGGCTCCTTTTTATTTCACCAAACTCTCTCTCAATGGCAAATCAAGTGCTAAGAGAGATATGCGTAATCAATGGGACCCCCATTGAGAACCCAGTCTTTCTTTACAGGAACTTGACGGTGTTAGTCGTCGGCTGCATGAGAACCAGTCCAGCTATCTTGCCATGCATGAAGGAAGCTCGTATCTACAAGCGTAGCCTGTCTCATTTTTCAGGAAACGAAAAGTTTAACTTTTATGATAAGAGGAAGCCATAAAAGAAGAAGTGATCGTAATTATGAGTGCTTATTGTTGTACGTGTGTACGAATCTGCGTGTGAATTAGTCTTTTGCTAAATCAACCCGTCAGAGTCGGAAATTTGCCTCAATTAACTTTGAGGAGTGATAAAACCATACCGATTACCATTGCAGCGAACACTTTGTTATATCAAACGGAAGTTCCAATTTGTATAATATGCACTTCATGAAACAAGGCCCCACGATTCTTGAATAAATCATGAAGTAAGTTCTGCTCTATATTAAATCGTCAAAAATCATCCGAAACCACCAAACGTTTGACTTAATAGAAAGTGTGAATCGTCCAAATGCTACTCACCACGCCATGTTTGGCCAATGAAACAAGAAGTGGCTTACCTGTCGTTTTGAAAGGGATGCTAAATCTCTCGCGAAATCACATGTGCTCTCTCTCGAGCGTTTTCCCGGGGCTGATAGGATTACCAATAAGGCTCATTTGCCAGCACGCTGTGCGCTGACTGACTGACAAGAATATTAGTTACCTGGTTCAATTTCGCAGTTGAATCCACTGTAGCCATTGGTGCAAGTGCACATATAGCTAAATGTCCCAGTTTTTTTGCACATTCCATTGTTCCCGCAAGGGTCACTTTTACAGGGATCCTCTGGAATTCAAAAATTCAGAAAAAAATATTTACACTGAGTTAAATTCAGGTTCTCAATGTGACAAAAGCAGGCTCATGATCCTGACAACAAGCTTTGTTGCTTGGCAATAACAAACAGAAATCACAAGTACCTGGCTCGATGTCACAGTTGAATCCACTATAGCCAGGAGGACAACCACACCTGTAGCTGCCTCCCAGTCCACGCTCGCACGTTCCTCCATTCAGGCAAGGTTCGCTGGAACAGGGGTCAGCTAAAACAAAAAGAAACGAAAATTGTACTGAAAAAAATACTTTTAATTTGGATGAAATCTTGCACAATATTTCTAACATCTGCCAAAAATGAAGGTCAGTTTCTAGACAGTATAGTGAATTTCTGTAAGATTTACAACGAATCACTCTGACGAAAATACTTCCATTTAATTCAGTAGGCTACAACAGTTGTTACGATTCCATGTACAATTGTGACGAACTTTTTCAATTTATGGAAGCGGCAAAGCATGAAATGCGTTTCTCTCATTCTGAGATTTTCCAAAAGCTACTTTATTATGCGTGATCATGCATTATGAGCCACACAGGTAAAGTTTGAAGAAGTGTGTGCCAAATCTAGGTTGACAAGTTACGTTTCTAGGCACAGTCAAAGAGAAAGACGCACCCATAGAAAAAGAGAAAGCCCTTGAGAAACTAAAGCCACCTAGCGACGCCAAGGAAGATCATTACCTGCATCGTTATTTTACTGGGAGTTCAAAATTATGACCAATGGGAAAATTTTTCTCTCAATTTCAAGAGAAAGATTGTCCGTAGTTTTCATAGAGACAAAAATTTGAAAACTATAAAATGCAATAAAAAATCAGGAAGGTTGCTCATGTGAACCAACAAATTTTCTTTGAATGACCACCTTAAATGCTTTTTGATGTAAAAAAGGTCTTTCGTTCGCTGTTTTATATCATCTCTAACTGTAACACTACCACAAAATATTTTCGTTTAATACATTTCCTGTGTCTACGAGTAAATAGGCTCACACTGATTGTCAAGTATTTTGAATTGTCGGAAACAGAAGCTCAATATTTCTCTCTTTCGGTTCAGGCATTTTTTTTTTCATTTTTTATTAATCGATATGCATATAATCATTTCTGTTTTCCCTCCCTAGCTGGTATATCAACAAGAACAACAGTTTGACAAGTCCACCGAATTCCCCTTATTTTAGTTAAGAGCTTCATCATTACGTATTTCGGTTTCGCAATTTGTCCCAGTGTATCCGTCCTTGCATTCGCAAGAGTAACTAGAAGCTCCGTCTCTGCGACACTTTCCTTCGTTCTGACAGGGATTGGTAGGAGAGCAAGGATCTGAAAAAATCCATAAAGTATAGGGAGCACGTCATGACTGAACCTCCATCAAATACAAATTCACAGTAATTAAGCCGATCCGTATGCTCGATGTATGGCATTAATATCTTCAGCTCCTCGATGTGTCATTAATATCTAAAATACCTCTTGGTCTTGGCGCCGGGGGTCTTGTGGTAACTGTAACAATTGAAATAAATCGCCATTACATTATTTCATTTCACCAATTCATGTGGTGGGTAAAATTTTAGAAACCTGTCGGTAACTATCAAGAGTTTAAATGCAACATCTTTTTGTTCATTTCCAAATCATTAATATCTAAAATACCTTTTGGTCTTGGCGTCGGGGGTCTAGTGGTAGCTGCAACAATTGAAATAAATCGTCATTACATTATTTCATTTCACCAATACATGTGGTGGGTAAAATTTAAGAAACCTTTCGGTAAGTATCAAGAGTTTAAAATTCAAAACAAAATGCTGTTCTTGCTTTAAAACTCAAAACGTTTGGATTAAAATAGGTTTGCTTCAGAATGTACATTCACCCCGTTAGTGTCACAGAAAGGAGGATGCACATTTGTTTGGTATTTAGTAGTGTTTACTATTGGTGTTTTAAATAGTTGAAATTACCTTCAAGGTCACTACCGCCGGCAGGTGGCACTAAGGGCAGAAAATAAGACAAAGAAATTCAACACAAAAAAATGCAATGAATTTACAGGTCTGGAAAGATAAGTGAGCCCTGAAAATGTACACCAACCTACCAAAAGCACTGGTACGCACTGGCCAGTTGGCCCTGCATGTGTGCTTCACAACAACAAACGTAATACATTTGTTCATGTCCAGAGATGTAAACGCCGCTATGTAAGCGTCATTTCGTTAATTAACTTTTGATTCAACGTGTAGATCTCTGCTACAGGTTGCACAACGATTGCTTTCTTTTGTACAGGAGTATGTGATAAAGGACTGAAGCACGGAAGAGCACGTTGTTCAAACCATCTATTATCAAGGCAAATGTCGTTTGACATGTATCGCATACTTGTTCGTAAGTTTCCGAAGTTTAACAAAATCTTAAGAAAAATCTAAACTACCATCACAGCGTTCTCCTTGAAAGTTATTCATGCACTCGCAACGAAAGCCACTCGACAATGAGTGGTCTTCATAGCAAACACCGTTCTCTCCACAGGGACTTGGCATTTGACGGCATTTGTCTGTCCAGGGATAAGAGATAAAAAGTTTAAAGTCATCAAGTTGGCAACATACTCAGATGGTAGACCAATTGTTGAGAATGCAAACAATGCTGAGATTCTACACGATGCTGACAAACAGACAGAACTTTTTTATACGCACTATTTGCCATTCTATATTGGATTACAGAGTTTACAAAAAAAATCTCAGGTGGCTGTTGACATTGGAATCCACATGCTCATTTACCCATCAGTGTTCAGGCAAAAGGAATTCCTATAATTAATGACGTTTTTATGCAGGAGAGTTTTACCCCAATGTTGTAATTACTACTGATGGACACCCATAGTTTGCCAACACTCGTTAGCAAGAACCGCGACAGTGACAATAGCGTCTATACCACCGGCACATAGAACACAGAGTTGTGAGGTCGCCCCGCCGTTCCGAGCAGGTACAGTAACCTTACAGCAGGTGCAGCAATTGGTAATCTTATATCTCGTACATCCAGGCTCCACTCAGCGCTGCAGGATTAACCAAACTAGTCCGATCAATTCAAATTAATTTGATATTTTATAATTTTCGTCCCCTATATTAAGCTTCTTGATTTTGTCTGTATGTATTATATTTGTTTCATTTATTACAGTGTTTTTGGAAATTAGTGCTTTTCCCAAACAGTCTTTAAGGTACTAAAGTATTTCTCCCCATTTTTATCACTATCGTTTCGTGTCGTTCCCTATCGTTTCTTAAACATAGCACTGGCGTACCTTCACCCACGGGTGGCTCTGGGGGTAAATTTATTATGTCTTGCTGATCTGCATAATTAAAGACAAGAACCATGCGTTAATTAAAGAAATGGAAGAAGCGAAATATCGGGGTTAGGTTTGCCTCAATACAAAGTGTGGCTATCCCGTGCAGTAAATGTAATTCATTTCGAGTTTAGGGAACTCAAATCGTGATGATTGATGATTTGACATGGAGCCTCACACAATAACGCGAACGTGTCGTACATGTCAATCGATGGATGCATCATTACGTGAGAGACAAAAATAGCTTCCAAGAAGTTTCCAACACTCACGAACGTCTACGATAGATACTGTCATAGCCTCCTGGGTGAGCAACCCATCGGCAACATATTCGTGTGAATGTAACGCCTTTGGCCTTCTGTGTTATGTTTTATATAATATCACATGTTGTTTAATTAAAAAGTAGGGGCATCTTCAATAATCAACCCACAGGCTGGTGATAACTTACATTTCGAAATGAACTCAAGTTGGAAACGGAAAGCAGCTGGTATCAGACCCCCAGCAAAGCCCACGTGCTTGATAGGTATGTTTGGATCTCTCTCCCAAGAGAAGATGTTATTGCGACTGGCGGTGCCAAAGGTGATTATCAGTGGCTCGAAGGTGATGCAGTACTCCGCGAAGGCAAGCCTGTTGAGGATAGCCGGTGTCTCGGCCGAGGCAATGGCGACATCACCGCGCACGACGGTGTGGACCACAGTCTTGGAATTCTCTGATTCACCGATCACTTCACAGAGAGGAGAGGTATGAGGATTCAGTTATGGCACAAGAGTTAACATGAGTAGACCCCCCCTTCCCTGACAAAACATTATTTTTTCAAGGATTAAAAAGCTCAAACATTTGTGCTATCATTTGAGAAGAAGTTCTTCGATAATTGACATCAACATTGAAATCCTTTTGCATTGAAAGTATTGTTAGCAGCAGTTAGGTGTCTGGCCGTCTACAAAGAATACCTGAAAGGACTTGAAAATTTATTCAACCCAAGTTTCTTTTTTAACCCTTTTGTTCACAAAAAAAACTCTTCTCTTTCAATGTTCCTATTGTTACGACGTCAGCTCTTCCGCTGCACACAGGGTAGGGTTGTACTATCGGCGTAGCTGCCATTAGGCTCCGAGACAGTAATATGTGGTAATGCAAACCTATTTCGTAGGCTGCTTGGCCGGGGTTCCTAAACCGCTGTGGGCTGAGCACCAGGTAGATCGGCCCCTGTTCGGCTTTGGCTTGGAAGCAGAATTCCGACAGGCCGTTGGGGAGCTCATTTAGAATCCAATCCAAGCAGAATGGATCTCCGGTCCAGTACACCACTTCGCTGTATCTGTGAACTGAGAGAGCCGTGAAGAGAAGGAAAGAGAGATTGAAGTCATAGCATCCTCATAGAAAATTTCCTGGTATGTTGCGCTTTTTATAACACTGGTAATTCTTTACAAGGTCTCACGTGCACGCTTTTAGAAATCAGTTTCCTCTTAAGGTGTTGTTCAAATTTATAGGGCTATTGATTTCAGTGCGTTACGGTTTTCGTAGAGTAAATTCTTTTCACCAACAACTAATTACTTTTTTTTTTAGATTTTTCTCCCCTGTAATCATGTTGACATTAACGACTCTCAGAAACTGTAGAAATTTAAGGAAACGCTGCTTAACCCCCAAAAACATTTACAGCTGTGCACTCTCAAGTGCAACATTTTTCCCCAAAAAAACAACAAACAAACAAACCACAGTGCTGCTCTATGGATCCTCTTCACCATTGGCAAATCTTATGCAACTACTTACAAACAAATAAAACGAACCGAAACAAGGAAAACTCACATCCTGTTTTATCAAAGGCGAAAGTGAACATTCCTTGGCCGAGGTAGCTAGTCGAGTAACCGACGTAGCGTGGAGCAAAATCGTCCTCCGGCACGGCGTACTTGAGGAACGGCTGCCTCCGGCCGCTGTGGCCCACCTTGAGATATCGGTCTTCATAGCGAACCCAATACTCGTTCAGTCGGTTACACTGCAGGCTTTCCCCCTCTGCCACCGCTAGAGGCTCGCAGTCACGGCACTTAGATATGTAGGAGAGCGTGTTGCGATAGCCACCAATAACTGGAAAAATATTCCGCCTTCATGAAAAAAACTTCACAGAAATACATGTGATGTCACACCTTCATAGCACCTTATTGTTGCCTATAATGATTTCTAGCGGAGAGCTTGGAGAAAAGGTTTACTGTAATATCTCTTTGTAAAAGGATTGTCATGCATCTCTGCAGTCTCACAAATATGGATCTGACCAAGGCGAATGTCCCTTAAGTCATTTCGGCTGCTTAAGTTGATATGATGCTGAAGTGAAATTCTTCACATTTAATTTGTGCGAAAAAATTAACAATACCCAAAAAATAAAATCCATGCGAGTCGCTAAAAATTTAAACCAAAGTTCAATTCATTCAACGGCTCAGAAAAGTTAAAATGAAACTGACTTACCGATAACGTACATGGGAACGTCAGTTTTGGGTGCATAGTCCGCTGTTAGAGCGATGTACACATTGCTTTGTGCGTAGACTGAGAACCAGAGAACTATGGGATTGCTGTCCAGGATGGGCAGATCCCACACGAATTCATTGATGGCGGCAGTCTCTTTTATAATGTTGCAGGTTTTGTCCACTTCACCTAAAAAGCAGTGTGTAGAAATCTGAGGTTACTGCTTTCTACCTCTACTTAGCGTACGCTACCTCTACTTTTCTGACCTATACTTCCAAGAGCTCGTTGCTTAGGCCTTGCGTAGTGATCATAGCAAAAAGAAATCCCCTGTATGATTGGTTTGACCACTTGTGTTTTATAGTTCCATTGTTTGACATTTTCTTCAAACTACTTTTAAAAAGTGATGGGGACTAGTTAAATAATTTACGCACGAGTGCTTTATAAAAAGGCATCAATTGATCAATGAATTACGCCCATTTGTAAACTTGTCAGGTTAAAACAATAGGTACCGGTATAAAGCCGTAACGATTCAAGGAAGCAAGTATGTCTGTATAAGATTAAATATTTCCAATCCCATCAGATTGAAGTAACTTGATTAGAACCCTTACCTGCAGTGGCTAATGACCACAGTGAGAGAGCCAGCAGAGGAAAAAACAAACGCCTTGTCATCTTGGCGGTCCGAAAGGACACCAAGGGCCGGCTAAACTGGAAAAAAGACATTTAAATTTGTTCATTCTATCAGAGGTTGTTGGAATTTTAAAAAGGTCCACACGTACTTTGTAGAGACTGCTGTAATTCTGATACGCTCTATACTTCCGCAGAGCTGGAACCAATTTGTATTGAGTTCCATCCTCTATTCGCCACTAAACGAGAGACAAGTGAAAGGGGACGTACTTTATTACCTCCTGCTTGATTTTGCCTTTTCAACCTCCAAAGAAATCCCAAAGCGATGCAATGTACGTAAAGGAGCTTAGTTCTGGTCAATAGTTCTCGCGCTTACCCATAAATAGTCTGACAGGCCTCGAGTTAGTTTTCCTGCCTCAAATGCTGTAGAAGTTTAATGCTTCTAATTAATACCCTCTTCAACCTCTCCTTAAAATGAAAAGAAATAAAATGACATTCAAAAATTCGTCAACATCAAAGAAATCTTAGAATAATTGGAAGGAACTGCTGCTTACGCAATACACAGTCCAAACCACAGTCAATTAAGAAGAAATCTCTCAATGTAGAACAACGTAGACTGTGGCAATATCTCTTTATTTCTACATATCCGGTATCGTGCGATGAGTTCACGGCTGCATAACACATTCGAACAATCAGTCTGTCATCCACCTGTCCTTGCGGCTAAATCTTTTTATTGTAAAAGCGTGGGAAGCGAGCTTATTGATTACGCCTAACCTTGTTATTTTAAAAAGAAAACAACTTCCAATAAATCGACATTTTTTCGAATTATTACTTTCACGCAATCGAAGGATATATCTGGGGAGTAGCGCGTGGTTCAGACAGGCGTTCTAGAGTCGCGCCGAAAAAATAGAATTAAGAGCGTAGCTCCGTTCAACCCCATTAAATTTTAGTTTCGGACAAACTCAACACACTGGAGAAGTCTAAGCGCAAACAAACGACCACACTATCACGCAACGCTCGTTTTTGTTTTTCGGGTCAGGTGTGCATTGTTCTAGACCCAAAATTGCACGTGGCAGAAATTATGTGGGTCAACATTCAAATTATGCTCCGACCTTTGCCGTCTTGCAGCCTTTTAAACGGCTTTCTGAATTTCCTGGACTTACATGTCGTAGGCCAAGGCCTTATAACATTTTAATTTGAAGGCAATATAGCCTTTCTACAAAATCTATGCACTACCCCTGCAGGTGAACAGTAAGTGCTGTTTTATTTTAATTTTATCTATTTGGTTATTTATTTATTTATTTAAAAAAAGGTTTAGGGTTTTGAAATAGACTTCAGCGTCCAGTATAAAATTCCCCGGATTAGAAGTTGAAACGTTAAAAGGTAAGACAGACACAAAAAATATGTAAAGTGAAGGTTACGTAAACAAAGGAGTTAGAATATCAAGTACATAAGAATGAATGTTAAGACATAAAACACAGATGAAGGGTGGCAAAAGTTGGATTTAAACTAGTAAAGAATTCACAAAATTGAATTGGAAATTAGAAAAATTAAACACAACCAAACAAACCTATCTCAAAATGAATAATAAAAGGGGCATGCGAAATTCGGGGAGCCCCTGGTCAAAAAAGTGAGGGGTTTAATGCTTCACTTCGTAAAACCGCGCCTTCGATTCATATCCTACCAATACACATGGGGAACAAGGCAATTGGAAGTTTTATAACTGAGCGCAAGACCCGACTTATCGTTCAGCCTTGATCGTTGAACTATCTTACTTTTTTTTTTATAAAAGATGCACGTATTACGGTTCTCAATTTATTTGTACCTGGTGTAATGCAGATACGATATTCTCTATGCCTCATAACTATTTTCATTCCAGCTTAAGTCAAAGGTACCATTAAAAAGCTTAAACACAAGTTTTCGAATAGCTGGTTAAAACAACTTTCATAATACTGAACCATGCTAAATATCGTTCAAAAATCAAAAGCACACACGAATTTTGGCCTATTTTCTCAGTTTGCTGAAAAGATGTTGAATCCTTGAGCAGATAACAATGCAGTTGACTGAAACAATGCCCCAAGAACAAAGCATATTTTAAAGGATTAACGACAGAAAAAAGTGGATGTTGTTCACCCACGACAGGTTCTGATTAATGCGCCTTTCCTCAGAGTGTCCAGTTACTAATCACATTTCACATCTTTACCGTTGCCACGAAACCCATAACCATCTTAAAACAATTTAAACCCATGTACAAGACATTGTTATTAATGATGGGCATTTAGGGGCCTATTTTTAAACAGCGTTTTTCCCAGTCGGTTTTAAACTCATGCCCCAAGCTCAGCAATGTTGGCTCCCAAGCTCCTAAAACGCTGTTCTAACGGTGGCAATTGGCCATGTTTTTATTCGTTCTAATATGGAAACCATGTTTTTGGAAACAGAAGCAGCTCTTAAGCATTACACATGTGCATGATTAAGAATGACTTACCGCATGAAGGTAGCTCAACTACGCGCGACTCGTCTGAGCAGTGGTTCATTTTAACAAGCGTCGCATTTACACATCTGCTGTGAAGGCTAATGCGCTCTCTCACAGTGATCGGCCATGTTGTCATTGATTTTAATCTGTTCAGAGATTTCTTTGTTTTATCAATCGATTTCCCTTACTTTTGACGCTTTGTCACGTTTTCCCATAAGAATACAATGACAGTTTGTTTTCAATATTAACCTAGTAAAGTTTGCAGTGATCAGGATACAATACTCAAGAAAAAAATACGCAGGGTTTGATTTAAGTACTTGTGTTAGCGGAATAGACATCGGAATGTTGTCAAATTTTATCTTAAACTCCTTATTTTAAAAATATGAAATTATTTTAGTGAGATTTACAGGTTTTCTGCTTTCAAAGTTATCATACTTTGCCTGTAAGTATGACAATTTGATGGAATAGATCTAGAGGTAATGCGTCTCAAATTGTGTATCCAGATAAAATGTATTGAATATAACCTGGAAAATGGTTGGTCTCTACAGATTACATTTGTCTAAAGAAGACTTACATTGCAATAAGTATAACACAGTTGTTAGCAGCATTTTCCAAAATGAAGTCATTTTACATTCATCAATGAAGAATGTTTACTTTTCAATAACGACAGCATGATTGAAATGTTAGATTGCGCGGGTTTTCCATGAATATCCTATTCGAAGTTATTTGCCCATCAAAGAAGTGTGTTTATAATACGAACCTTACAGCTTGACGGAGCTCAGTACTGACGTGTATCACGGGCATTACATCATTAGCCAATAGGAAAGCTTTACGTGCTGAGCTGCGCACAGACATCAGTTCGTGAATACAGGAATCGAGAACCAAGTATAAACGGCTTGTCATGTGAGTATTCATAAAGTGCCCCTGTTAATTAAGTGGAGGAAACTTGTGACCTTTTACCTGTTGGTTGTTCATTCGCTCACAGCAGAGATTTTATGAATAACGCGACTGTCGGTTGAAAGCAGGACTATAGTCATCATAACAGAAGCAGTGCGCTGTGAATATGCAACGATCAGTTTAACAAGAAGCTAACGATGCTCTGCCCCACCCTACGCTTCTTTTGGAAACTTTGACGAATAAAAATTACGCTATTCAAGTGGGGAAATCTGATATAGATAAAACAAGAAATCTTTATTGTGGTTTATACAGTATCGCTTTTTTACAGTAGTTTAGGCGGAGAGCTATCTTATGTAATATTCGATGAAGTTTTAATGCCATCGCATATTGTTGCCACGTTATTGCAACAGCTTCTCGACGGTTTGCATGGTTGCCATCTTGAGGGCCAGCGCTTTTGTTCCACAAGGCATGCACAAAGGAGGTTCCCTGTGGAACGAAAGAACTGCCGTGCAAGATGGCTACCATACATAGCCTGTATACATAAACCAGAGAACGGTTGTCAAACTTAATTTATTTCTCCAGTTATGCCAGGCGCAAATTATTAATTTGACGGGGAAAATAACCCAGGAGTAGTGAGTTTGTGTACATTCTACAAACAGCGCCCACTTTGGTAAATGCACAATACATATCATCATTTGGAGATTAAATAAGTTCCCATTAATGATTTACCCTCGTTACCCAAGCTTGGTTTTGTTTTCACAATATATCTTCTACAACTGGTAAAACACCTTGGAATGGTCATGTCATGGTCGAAATGTAGCTAAGACATGGGAATTCTCTCAGTAACTTTTCAAGATCACAATTATAAATCCCCTCAATTGTTTTATATTTGACTAATTAGATTTTGACGTCGAGGGAAATGCACCGGAAACTGCGACTTGGAAGATTGAGTTGGCAAAATCAAACATGCGGTAAAAATCTTGGAAATGTTAAATAGTACTGTGGATTCAACACACACACACACAAATTACGTCATTCAAAATGTTACTGGATCGTTGAACGTCGGGCCGTTGAGCAATAGAAATCGTCATCAATGTTAGCAATAATATGAAAACATCATACGACTTACCGGAAAGGAACTTCCTTGGTGACTAGACCACGCCGCTATCTATACGACCAGAGATTTGAATCTGCTTGGCAAGGATTGCAATGAACCCCCAAATCGACAGCTAGAATTTTGCTTGTTGCCAAGGTTAGAACAGGAACAGAGCTGTAACGAATATTGACAAATCTGGTCTGACAAGAATGCACATGCAATTTCTGCTGTTCGTCAAATTTCAGTCTTTGAACAGACTTGTGCCCCGGCCTTAAACGTCACATGCCGAACCGTCAATCACAGAATGAAGGGTTGTTACCAGTAAACTACGTCAACGAAGTTTTAGTCAGTACTCAGATGTGAGGGCGTGTATGTCTGCTCACCTTTATTTGTTTTACGAGTGGACCCATTTCCTTCCTGGAGTGAACTGGTCAGTGAATCAGAAAATTCAGAGACTCTGGACCGTTGGCTTGACACCGGCAATTCTCAACCCGCTTGATGGGGCGGAGACCTCCACCTGCTTCGACACCACTATTGTCGCTCAAAAATCTTCTCCGTTGAGGTATCTAAACGGTGGCTATGAGATAAGTGGACTTTCCCGCCCCGGATTTAACTGTGATTTTCATTCTGAAATGTGGACTTGTCTGCTGTATCTTAGTAATTTGTACTGAATGATCAGTAAAACAGAACCGAATTGTGACAGAAAAAAATATTGTTGATGCCAAAGCGCAATTATTTCTTTTGGCATATCCGAAAATTGAGTAAATAAAAAAAACACTTGCAGTTGATTTTTTGTTTGGATTTAAAGTTTGGTTCGATCTACCAACACGTTGAAATTTAAATTTCAATTCTCTGAAGATGAGAGGGGACTCAGTCCAATTATATAGGTAAAAAAACGAAGGCGTATACTGTTTCCGCTCGATCGAAATAGCCTTCTAAGATTTGAATTCCCAGCAAGTATTTTTCAAGACATTTAGCTTCAGACAACACTTTCCACCCGCTTTTAAATTTATAACACCAAGTTTCTGTGAAGAGAACGAGGTTTCCAAGTGGGACCCTCAAGCAGGGTAAAAGAAGATACCGCTATGGTGGGTTTTAGGCCGCAGTATAGTCGAGAAAAATGATTTCTGAAGCATGTGATTTGCACTTACATTCTGGGATCGTATAATCTGCAAAGGGAAATAGAAAACCGAATATCAAATATTCACTTGAACAGGTTGGTCAACTCTCAAGAATGAATCAAGGGAGTGTTTAAGAGCTTATACAGTCTTGTAAAATACAAGTTCTTGTTTGAGCGAAATGAGTCCCTCAAGCGGGTCCCCAGTCAGGAACCAGTTTTCAGTCAGCAATGAGACAATCTAGATCAAGTACAAACATTGCAAGCTTACAAGGGACAATACAAGGGGCAATATTATGTCACAAATAGAAGTTCTGTTAAATATCCTACCTGGAATCATGTCTTCCTGCCATTTCCACGACACCTCGAACTCGTAGCCGCCGGCAAAGCCGATGTACTGGTACATGACTTCGGACCGTTCGCTGTCCACAAAGTCCATGATTGGCTTGGGGGATCCTGGGGCTGTGATAATGATGTGTGGACCGCTCGCCTCGATACAGAAAGAGCGGAATTCTTCACAGTCAAGGATATCCGGAGTGGATTCCTCCTCAACGTTTGGCCCATGCAAGCCTCGACGGACTACAGTCATCTGGTTGTTCGAGAAGCCAAATTCTAGAGCATGGCGAGAGTGCACATTTCATTTCAACATTGGGCCAATTTATCATAAAAATAGCTAATAAATTACAAGTCTTCTGCCCTTATATTTGCTCCCCATTATAAGCTGCTTACATTGAATGAGCAGGTCCAACATTCCCAATAAATTGCATTGTTGTGTCTGTCCATGCAAAGTTGAATCCTTATTGTGATTTATTCTTTGGTGTCCATCACCTTTCTATAAAATACATTGTTGGAGAGATTTCCAAGTAAGTCTCACTTGAGGGAGAGGTCCAATGTCAAAGCAGATAAAGGATGGAAAACTTACATGGCCTCGCGCTTTTTCATGAAGTTGAAATTTACTTTAAAACATTAGCTGAAGCAGCTAGTTATTTTATTACACGAATGGAATTAATAAATTAATATTAAGTGATTGGCAATGCCGATGAACGATTTTGCTTTTTCAATACGCGCGTTTCACAAAAGTGCGCCTCCAAGAGCTTGCGACGTGTTGACCAATCATAGTGCACGGATTCTATCGACCCAATAAGCGTTTGAAAAGGGTCAACAGATTTCGCGCGTTGTGATTGGCCAGTGCGTTGCAGACTCTTGGAGGTGCACTATTATGAATAGCCCGTAAACGACTTATCGACCAAAATCAACACAAGCTACAGGTTTGGTTGCTGACTCACCAATTTCATAGAGCAGTTCTCCAGCCTTCGGGTCCCTGACTGGCGAGAGGGCAACAGCTGCTACACCCTCGGATTTGACTTGGAAACAGACTTTTCTTGACTTGGGCCACGGGCGCAGGATCCATTCGTAGCAGTAGCCCTTGTCAGTCACGAACACGTGGTCACTGAATTTAGCTAGAGTTGAACCAAGACACTTTTACAGATAGGTTAAGTTAATCAATGGTGAATTTCTTAGTCACGAGGACTCGACAAACAGCGGCGTAATTGGGAAGGGATCGGACCGCCTTGGGTAGGCGGGATCCTCTTTTGTCTCCCCCCGCCCATTTGCATACTCATAAATATGTATGCACACAAACTTCAAAAATGGGACTCCAAAGTTGAGCTCCAAAATGCTGACCTTTTGGGTCAAACATCCTTGCTTTGAATACAATACTATCGGTAAATCTCATCTACACTTAGATTACTTGATGGTATTTCCTTACAAATGCTTCTGATGAAATGTGAATCTGAATGAACTCTTCCAGTTTACAATGTGAAAATAATGTCTCATCAATTTCCAGACATCTAAGGTGGAAAGCTTGCGGTAGCACCATGCAAGGATACGATCTCTTTGTGAGTCTGTATGGTTCTGTCCGTCGTCGGTCTCCTGACGACGGACAGAGCATACTGTCCGAATCGTTGAGTTCCTCACGGCTCTTTTCAGTGCCATACAGACTCACAAGGAGATCGTATCCTTGCATGGTGCTACCGCAAGCTTTCCACCTTAGTTATCTGTCACCATGAATAGCTTGAAATCCCAATTTCCAGACATGTTTGGCAACAAAACCGCAGGATAGGATACTGAAAAAAACAATCATGTGAATGCCGATGCAAAAGCCTCACTCGTGAACCTTTTACGGTTAACCACTTGTTGCCTTTGGTGATTCATATTTCAAATAATGTTTCCACTTAAAAGTCTCCTCGACCACAAAACGCGCGTGGGTTGAAATATGAAATGTCATTTGAGATTTCGAGGGGTTCACAATCCACCCGTATCTTCTGGCTCCACAGCATAATCTTCAGAACCAAAACTAATTCATATAGGTCGGCTGTGCAATTGTTCTGGTTATTATTTGACTTACGCCCGTGTTCCTTGAATGCACCAAAGCTAAAGACTCCTACACTCAAGATGCTCGTTCCAAATCCCAGAAACTTGGGAGTGATTGGTCTCTTTGGATCCAAGTCGTATGTTAGAAAGGCAAATCGTTCGCCCACTCGTCCAACTTTAACAGATCTGGTAAAAAAGTCCCATTGTATACATTATGTAAGTGAAATATTGCCACTAAATTTTTCTGAAAAAAAAATATGGTGCGTTCCTTTCCAAAAAAATCTCAAACTTGCTCTTTATTTGTTAAGCGTTCAGTTATAATGTCACAAAAAAGTTATGTTTTATAGTCAAATCTTTATCTGTTAAAGGGTGTTATCTCTGTATAAATACTGTAAGCACATTTTAATAATCTGAACTGTGAAGTTGTAGAGGTCAAATGATTTGAAAGAAAAGGGTGATTACAACCTCCTACCTTGATTCAAATTGCACCCAGTATTCGCTGAGCCGATCACACTTCAGTTCATATGGAGTTGCCTTGCTCTCTTTACCTGGTTGAAGGGGGCGGTAGATTGAAGACTCCGAATTCATTTTGTCCCCCAGGGCTGTGAAGAAATCATTCCAGAGAACACTGTTATCTGCTAATATCACCCTTCCAAATCAGTACCGTCACAAATCTTTAAAGGCCGTGTCAGGATGTATTCTGACTTCCTTTCACTGGCCTATGACATACTCTGGAATTTTTTTCATCCTCCTCTCAGATGTTTAGAGGCATATCCTAGGTCGAGGTCAATGTCAGTTACAGTCTTTCACATTGGAATTGCCTTCATTTAATTCATCAGTCTTTTCTTTCTATCACTTTGCTTTCTCTTGGCCTTATCGATACATATATATTGAAGTATCGAGATCGAAATGAAGATTCCCCTTCGATGCCCGACCTTCACACATTCATAGAGTTTGTTAGGGCATGCTACACTGGTCATTAAATCAAAAGGTCATCTATTGAAAAAGCTAAAGGTTTGAACTTACTGATAATAACTCTGTCGCTACCATCTTCCGTGTTTTCAGCCAAAACAATATGGACATCAGCAATCGCAAACACTCTGGAAAAATGAACAAATCGCGAGTTTGTATTTTTTAAACCGCCTTGCAAATTGAAAGAGGTTTATACCACACGACTTCTTAAAGCTTCCAACCAAACAAATGTGTCGTGACCTTATGAATGATAATAAGAAACTGACAAAATTTAATGAATGAGTGGCACTCGGCAACATTCACCCCTGTGCATTTTTAATATAAACAGGATATTTTTGCGCTGGATTTTTCTTTTCGCTTATAAAGATCATTAGGAACACAACAGGTTATGAATCAATACAAAACGAGGCAGTGGCCAGTTTAGTAAAAACTAATGGAATTCTCTATGACTGTATTCGTCTACTGGTCGGTGTTTTACATTATGGGATATAGGAATGTTTCCTCCATTTCCTTAGACAGGAAGATTTTATTATACCTCAAGTTTGTACTGATCAAATTTGTGCCCGTAAGTTACAATTTAACTTGACGATGTGAAATATTGAAACACGTTTAGCAAATCCCTACACTCACACTGTGTATCCTTGGCATACGCCTACCTGAAGTTTATTTGAAAATGTGATGCCGGTAGCAGACTCGGGTGCCACTGTAAACCGTCATTCTTCTCAGTTTGGAACAGTTGACACATATGGCTCTCTAGTGGTGCTTAGTAATAAATATAAATACATGTGATTTTGAACGGTAAATGACCATCCAACAGTGTTGAGAACATGCTGAATTTTAGGAGGTTTGAAAATTTAAAATTTCTGTCATGTAAGAAGTGTCTTTTACGATACTGATGTTTCCCAACGAACTGGGACAAAATGCAACAGAACAAAATGTTTTTAAGTTAACTTTTGATTGATTGGAAAATGATGGGCTCTGAATCCCTTCTCCAAGTATTATCAGGGCAAGCAAGAAGTAAGTAACCATTTTATATTTATTGGAGAATTAAATGACCTCGAGTATCAAAATACGTGAAAAAAATTAACTTTCGGCATCTTTGTACGGATTTCGTGGAAACAGGTCACATGTTTAATCAACCTAATCACAAATTAGTGACAAAGTCGTTCAGTAAAGGGATTCTTGTTGAGAAATCTTTATCTTGACTGAAACTGGACGAATCGTCATTAAATTCTTTTATCAAATGACATGAAAGCAGATTCTACTTTCAAGAAAAATATTGCTTTCTTACCAGCGGTTATCCTCGCAAAAGTCACAGCCAGCATCAGAACAACTAGACCGGAAGCCGCCATCTTGAAGGCTTCGGAGTCCGCCTTTGGGGTGTTATGACCTGCATCAGGGTAAAAGTATCGATTATTCGATTTTTTGTTTAAAATCCAGCATTCCAATTACCAATTTCAAAATTCAAAATGCTATACTCATATTCAACATTCTTCGAATAGGTTTGATTCACTCGATCCTGCACTCGACCTCTACCAGAGGTATTTGTATGAAATGACCAAAGCTCTAATTAGATATTACAATTGCTCTTCCGGCCATAGTTTTTTTGAAATATCTATGATTT